GTGCTGTCTGTAAGTCCCCCATCCTCCTCAGTAGAAGTTAGAGCTTGAGAGCTGGCACTACTCTGTCAGGGTGTGGCTCTCCAGTCAAGGGATTTGTGCATTATGTCAGAAGTATAATTAATTGCTGGATCCACACAGAGGTCTAATTACCTGTAAGCAAAGCCCCTCCCTAGGTGTTTTACCTGTTTTGGGATTCACTCTGACTGAGTGGTGGCTCAGAAGAAAAGAAAGGAAAAGATAATATTAAATTACAAAAATCTGTTAATATATTCTTCTTAAATGTACCTCAACCTCATTTGTGTTTCTACATCATTTGTGATTAACAGTGGCAGCTGGCCAATAGAGGGCCATGGGGCCTGAACCCCACCTTGAGCCACAAAAGGATTAGAATTTTTAAAAAGTATATCCATCCATCCATCCATTTTCAACCGCTTATCCGGGGTGGGGTCGCGGGGGCAACAGCTCTAGCAGGGGACCCCAAACTACCCTTTCCCGGGCCACATCTACCAGCTCTGACTGGGGGATCCCAAGGCGTTCCAGGCCAGTGCAGAGATATAATCTCTCCAACTAGTCCTGGGTCTCCCCCGATGCCTCTTCCCAGCTGGCCGTGCCTGGAACACCTCCCTAGGGAGGCGCACAGGGGGCGTCCTCACCAGATGCCCAAACCACCTCAACTGGCTCCTTTCGACGCAAAGGAGCAGCGGCTCTACTCCGAGCTCCTCGCCAATGGCTGAGCTCCTCACCCGATCCCTAAGGGAGACGCCAGCCACTCTCCTGAGGAAACCCATTTCGGCCGCTTGTACCCGTGACCTAGTTCTTTCGGTCATGACCCATCCTTCATGACCATAGGTGAGGGTAGGAACGAAGGTTGACCGGTAGATCGAGAGCTTTGCCTTCCGGCTCAGCTCTCTTTTCGTCACAACGGTGCGGTAAAGCGAGTGCAACACCGCCCCCGCTGCTCCGATTCTCCACCCAAACTCACACTCCATCTTCCCCTCACTCGTGAACAAGACCCCGAGGTACTTGAACTCCTTCGCTTGGGGTAAGGACACATTCCCTACCTGGAGTAGGCAATCCATCGGTTTTCTGCTGAGAACATTGGCCTGGAACATTGGATTTAGAGGCGCTAATCCTCATCCCGACCGCTTTACACTCGACTGCGAAACGCTCCAGTGAAAGTTGGAGGTCACAGACGGAAGATGCCATCAGGACCACATCATCTGCAAAAAGCAGCGCTGAGATCCGCAGCCCACCGAACTGTAGACCCTCCTCCCCCGACTACGCCTCGATATCCTGTCCATGAAGACCACAAACAAGGCGCAGCCCTGGCGAAGGCCAACCCCCACCGGAAACGCCGAGCACCCGAACACCGCTCTCGCTTTGGGCGTACAAGGATTGGATGGCCCCAAGCAAGGACCCCCTCACCCCGTACTCCCGCAGCACCTCCCACAGTTTCTCTCGGGGGACCCGGTCATATGTCTTCTCCAAGTCCACAAAACACATGTAGACTGGTTGAGCATACTCCCAAGCCCCCTCTCTGATCCTGGAAAGAGTGAAGAGCTGGTCCGTGGTTCCACGACCAGGACGAAAACCGCATTGTTCCTCTTAAATCCTTGGTTTGACTATCGGCCGAACCCTCCTTTCCAGCACCTTGGAGTAGACTTTACCCGGGAGGCTGAGTAGTGTGATGACCCTGTAATTGGCACACACTCTCTGGTCCCCCTTTTTGAAGAGCGGTACCACCACCATTATTCAGGGATGTGTTGTATACAAATAGAGCAAATGGGTCATTGATAGAGTGGCAGGATGCAGGTGACATAACAGAGCGATAAGGATGCTGCTCTGTCCTCCTGCTGAGCTCACTGTACGCATATACATGCTGCCTGCATGCCTCATATGTGGCGTTTACTGGAACAAAACAATTCTCAAGTCTGCGTGACATTATGAAATTATTGTTCACAATTTCAGGGCAACGCCCAGTGATCCAGCACAGTCGTTACTTTCCCACATGTGACGCCATGTGACTGTACCGTCAGCTTGTGGCACAGTGACGCAGAGACAGCACAAGTAACACCTGTCCTGACAGCTTAGTGACGGATGTTAGTCCAAAAGATCTACAACGTTTTCTTATCGTATCTTCCTACGCTATTGTTCATCTGGGTAAGGTGAAAGAAAGGTTTGGTGGGGTTACATTGTTACCCAATAGGTTTCTAAAAACCAACAGAACAGTGCCTATTCAGGCTGCTCTGGTTCCTCAGTTGAAGTTCATCAGTGGCATCCAGCCCTAAACATGGAGGCCATTTCTACGACTACTGTCTGCTCTAATTCACATTTCCTTCAGCCATGATTGTAAAGCGCGTTCAAAGCTGCCACTCTTCTGTGAACAGGGTGCACTTTGTGTAAGCGGCTGAGCTCTCACGTTGCAGCGCTACGCCACGGCTCCATTACTCGAGGGTCACCTTTCAGTCAGGTGAGCAGAGAAAGGAGGAGGAGGAGGAGGAATGTGGAGGGAAGGCCTGGGAACCGACGAAGGCCATGAGGGGTCACCTCTTTCGCTTTCCTTTCCTATCGCTCACACACACACACACACACACACACACACACACACACACACACACACACACACACACACACACACACACACACACACACACACACCAATACTACAGCAGGCTTTTGAGTTGTGTTACGAAATGACGGGGAATCATCGAGAATTATAACGGGCTTGTCTTCAAAAGCCATAGCTGCACTTCTCCCACTGGTAACTGAGTGCTAAGTGTTGGCTAACTAAGTGCTGCTCTCATTCGGAACAGAAAAGTTCACATTCTTCTAAATCCACATTTTGAGTCAGTGAATTATGTATTCTGCCCCTTTCAGTTGATTGTGTTACTGCCTACAGGGTTCATTGTAATGTTTCTTCCACAGAAAAGTTAGCTATTTTGCGATGGACCAGGTAACATCACGCTAACTCTGGTTTAATGTATTTCTTGTTAAAAAATGTGTACTTTTTACTACTTTTCTACAATATGTCCTTTAACCTATATTGTTTCTCAAACTAAAATCATAGCTCTCAATATTCTGAGACAAAACTATAAAAGTGGAATTTCTGTGCTGCTGCTGCATAATAACACAACACAACACTTCTGGCAGTTGCTTAGCAACAAGAAGGGGACCGACAACTAGGGCTGGTTTGTAGCCTTTCCCCAGCAGTGCAGCAGGAAAAGTCCCGTTGCCACTTTCCTTGGAAGCCCGTCCTGCGTGCAGCTACGTACCTGCTCACTGAGCTCCAGATAGGAGCAGGACGAGACATGTCCTCCAAACCCCAGCCTTGTTTCCAAGAAATTGTCTTTTTATACCACTGACTTGTTTTGACTTATTGGTTTTAAGGGTTTTTGTAGCACAAGCTGGTGGATGGGAGTTGTTCAAACAGACATTACGCATTTACAAGCAGTTCCATGATAGTTTGTAACAGTTACAAGCTTCTATAACAAACTATAAATCTGATCTTTTATTTGTGTTCATTATTTCATTAAATAACTCTGTGGAAAGAATATGTGGACCATAAGTTACTTCCAAGGCGAAGAAGCTCAAAATGTTTCCTTAAAAGTAGTTCAAAGCAGCCTGTGAAAGACTTTGAGCAGATGACAGATCAAACTGTGAAGTCACTGCACAAGATCTTACGAGAGCTTCATGTTCTATAAATCGTTCTGTAAATAAATACTGAAATGTGCTTCTCTCCTGTTGTTAAACACGTAAGAGGTGTTTCCAGCAGGCGGCTCACGGTGAGGAGTAATGGAGTCTAATGGAATGTAGAAGTCTCTCAGCAGTTCCTCCTAATCGTTGCTCGACATGTCTCAGCAGCGAACTGGCTGTGTTTACGCTGCGTTTGTGCGGCTACTCATCCTCTTCCTGTGGAACCGGTTTCCTCCACTCAATAGAATGGTTCCAATCATAAGGCCACACCAAGCGTGCCACAGAGCTGTTGTTTGATTCTACGTGGTAGGTTGAAAGCTTCCTGTAAGAAGATGTGCGTCAATCAAAGGATCGGAGGTTTGCATCCGGCTCTGCTGATCTGCATGCCGGTGTGTCCCGCCTGTGGACAACGTGTCTCAGCTGTAACCACAGTATGTGGATGGTGCTGTGAATGTTTGTTAGTGTTCAGCAGGTGGAGCTGCGTATAAAAACGTATTTGGAGAACCAATGGACACCACCCCCTTCAGAACATCTTTGCCAGATTGCCAATGGATCAAAACTCCAGCCCCACACTGATTGACATGTGTAACATTTTGATCTCTATGACTCACTGACACACCTGCATTCAGGGGAAACATCACCACGCCCTACATGTCTGCTGGTTGAATGGTGAGAAAAAACAAAACCTTCAACTTCAATCGTTTTTCTTGTTGCCAAAACCCAAAGACCAGCCTTTTTTGTTCTTTTTTGTACAATTTTCAGTTTGACCAAATTTCTCTCCCTCTTAATTTCCATTTGGGCCATAATCTTCCTTAATAATGCAATTAACCTGTATTATTACCTCTTTAAAAATCTTTATGTTCTTCGGCATTTAAATCAGAAATAGGTTCCTCTACGTAAACCGAGACCGCCTGGTTCAGCTCCCCACCTTTCCAGTTATCATGGCAGCAGATCAAACAGAAATACACATGGTTTCTAGTATTGCTGACGATATCAGAGAGATAATATCAACTTTCTGTGTAACTTTCAGCCCGGTAATGGGGGAGGGTTGGGTCCTCTTGCTTTTGTTGCTACAACAAGATACACGTTGTACTTTGGGGAGACGAGCCGGCAGCTCAAGCTCAAAGACGAGAGTTATATATACGTTTGTAGTCAGTACAGTGATCCGTCCACGTGAGGTGGCTTCTGTTTCTCTTTTCTTTGTACTGACATTCCGGCTCATATTGAGTTCCACAGATGTAGTGCTCCTCCCCCACAAACACACTTTCTCCTGACGGGTGTGTCTGTGTGTGAGGTGGAGCACTGCTCCTCCTCAAAAGCCTCCTCCTCGTCTCCATCCGATCTCAGTGTGTCTGGGACTCTAACCCGCATCAGTCACTTGTCGCGGACCGGGAGCACCATGATTGGGGTTTCTTCTCCTTTGTTTCTTCTGTTACTACTAACGGTGAGTGCGACGCGCTACCTGTCCGTCTGTCCTGCGGCTCACAGTGGCCACCCCTTTGTCGGATAACTCCACATATATGAGCATGTATTAAGGTCATATTTATCTACCTGTACCAGAAGCAACAAACAATCAGTTTGTGGAAACAAGTAGTTCCAGGTAGAAAGGCCGTAGTGGGGAAGGATCACCTACTCCCTCGTGTCATGGATAATTACCGTGTCTATGTTGATCTACGTCTATGTTTTAAATACCTGGCTGCCATGGCAACGCACAGGTGTGTTCATGTCGAAGCCTGACTGGTGAGAGTTAAGAGGATACACCGCTCACTGCTTCTTTTTGCATTATGCTTTTATCATAACTGTCAACGGCTCAGTGGGACTCAGTGGGAGTTTTAAAACATTATTCTTATAATTTATGCTAAATAAATGACTCTTTTCTCATCATGTTTGGAACATCAGTAGATTACACAGACGGCTCATGACAAGATGTTTCATGCTTCGCACAATTCAGATTTGTGCGCTTCATGGTGTGAGTATCGGAAGTTCAGACAAACACAACAGCATTTATTAGTGAATAACTATTGGGGTAGAATGACCCAGGATCAAACAACCTCTGCGTCCCTTTGTCCTCCCAACATTGCATGGTTTTGTAGTCTCAGATTTAACAGCTAACACCCATGGAGTCTGATGTAGTTGTCGTGTGGTAGAGTACGCCTGCACTACACACACTGAAAGCTGCCAGTCACACGACGGGTATCAAGTGAGGTAGAATGAACGTTGTAAAATGAGATTCTCCAGTGGCATGGGTGCCACTTTGAGGGGGTTGATGCAGCCATCATGATAGCTGAAAGCCGCTCAGCCAAAATAATCATCTAGGTGAGAGACGCACAGAGATAAAGCTTGGCTGAATTCTGCAGCTCATTAAGGCCTCACATGTCCTGCATTCGGAGACGGGAGGCCACTCCTTTCCCCCGTGTCACGCCGACATGCCCATGCATTGACTGATGGGTGCTGCTGGGAGTGGTAGGGTGCGTCTGCCTGTCTGTTCTCACGCTGGGGATCTTAACCTTTCTCACGCCAAGCACCTTCACCAAAAACCCTTTGGGTTCAGAATTAGAAAGTGGTCAACATGGTCTTGAGTAGAGAACCACTGCTCTATGCTCACAGAGCTCAGCTCCTCATCCCATGCATATTGCTGATGGGGCCGAGCTGTATGTCCCCTCCTGCTCTCACTAGATCCCCGGTCTGAGGCAACGTGCTGCCTTCCCTGGAAGTAGAGGAAGCCAAGCGTTACTCATTTTGACGCGAGTGGCAAAAGTGACAACAAATTGAGGACAAAGTGATTTCAATATGACCACTAAGCCGACTGAGCAGATCTACAGACCACAAGAAGGATGCTGACCATCGTGTTTTGCCCTCAAGCTGCAAGTTACTGGCCTTTAGAATGTGAACCGCCAGTCTTTGTAACTGTCACCATCAAAAATAGTATCAAGGCGAAGGCTGTGCCACCAGAGAGGAACGTGAAGGCTGTGCCACCAGAGAGGACCGTGAAGGCTGTTGGCTCAGAGAAGTGGAGGAACTAGTTCTTTGTCTGGCATCAACGAGAAGATGGCTCAGTGTTTCCATGAAACCATTCAGCCAACTGCCGGCACACCCACACGCACACACAACCACACACACACGCACCCACACGCACACTTGTCCTTGCTACACACTAGAATATCACGAGCAGCGTAGCCAGCGGGAGCGGCAGCAATGACGAGTACCTGAACAACAGGTAAGCCCCTCCCTCTCTCTTCAAACCAGCAGGCCCAATTTGAGGCTGACTGAACCCTGCGTGAGCAGCAGGAAGTGAAGCGATTTATTTACATGAACTTCTTCTGCAGACGGAGCTGCCACCTCGCCGACCAGCCGGGTTTTTTAGTTAGAGACAAGTCTTTTGAACATGGGGAGTTTGGTGACGTGTTGCTGGGTGGGATGCATTAAAGACATACAGGTTGATAATCATATAAAAAAGAATTGTGCTTTTGTACAGATGTACATGTGAACAAGCACCTTAAACATGATGCAAAGGCAAGAACGGGGAGATATACATTATCATTTATTTTGTTTTGCATTAACCAATGTTCACGATCAACATTTCTTAATTAGATTTGATATGACAGTGAGGGTGGTTGCTCACACAAAGTCTCATTGGATTTGGTGATTTCTTTTTACACTATTGAATGCAGGATGAGTCATAAATACTTTCAGAAAAAAAGATTAAAATTCACTGGGTCTTTAAAAATGCAATATGTCAGTTAAAACAGTAACAAGTATATGATCAATAAGCTGGACACCTTTCTTAAAGTTTATCCCTTGAAAAACCTCTACATGTCCGGACCAAAGACTAATAATTCCTACTCCATCTATTGTGTTCCAGGCTGTCATCGCGCGGATCGCTAGCTCTGGAGACAATCTGGTCAGAAAAAAAAGAGAATGGATTCTCCCTCCGAGGCCTCTGATGGAAAATGAAGACTACACCCAACAGGATTTTATTGCTAAGGTGAGTCCCTGATTGATGGTACCCATTAAATCTATCTCACCACAGACAAGACTGTCTCTGAAGGGATTTTCCCCGGTGCGCTGAAAGGATCACGTCTTGTTTTCTAGATCCGCTCAGATGCTGAATCTTCAATGGACATTGAATACGCTCTAGAAGGCATCGGTGCAAATGAAAGGCCATACGGTCTGTTCATAGTGGACCCTAAGACTGGATTTATTAGGGTGACCAAAGTGCTCGACAGGGAGGTGATCGACACGTACAATGTGAGTGATACAGGAGAGATTCTCTTGTATTTCCCCACTTACCAGAGCCCATGTACATGTCAACGCCCAATTATGTTTGCAAATGTACAGGTTGAGACCATATTTAAGGAATAGTTCTGTTTCAGTTGTCAGGTGTCGCTAAGTACAAAGACGGCCGCCATGCAGAGAAAAAAATTGACATACGGATTAAGGTTGTGGATGTTAACGACAACCCGCCAGTGTTTGGAGACATCAAACCAGGGAGTGTGAAGGAGCTTAGTGCTGCCGGTGAGTCCCATCTCGATGTGTGATGCTGGAAGTGCTAAAAACCTCCCCATGACTCCCCAGAGGGAAACAAGATCTTGTTTTTTAATAAAAATAAATAGCTTTAAGAGCTGTTAGATGCAGATATAGAAATGGTTGTAGAGGCTGTTTGAACTGGTAATAAAAAGGTATGTAGCAGTTTACCTGTTTCCCTGACATCACCTTGGTCTTTAACCATGGAAAGGTCTTCATTTACTATCATCAATCAGCTTGGTTTGTCTGTTCGTTCATCAGCCAAGCGACATCTAGAGCTAGTTTGGTGTCATCAGACCACACCAGACTGAACAATAACATCACATTTAATGCTGTTTTTACAGGGACTTCAGTTATGAAAATAACTGCAACCGACGCTGACGAACCAAATAACCCAAACTCCCAAATCGCCTATAGCCTCTTAGAACAGAACCCGCCTCATGACATGTTCGAAATAAGAAAGGATGGGACCATCTACGTAAAGAATTCTGCCCTGGACAGAGAGGTACAACACTACTTGCTTTCACAAAATCTGCTCATCAATGCCAGCTAATAAAATGCCATTAGGTCAAGAAGGTGTTGACCAGTTGGGAAGCTGGAGGCCTTTGCTTTTTGACTTCTTTGCCTTCTCTGCCACATGACTTTCATAAGTGTAAAGTGTACTAACACAGCACAGTGACCGACTCATACCACTACTATGCTGCGTATGTGGAACGCGTCCTCCAAGTGGACAGTGTGAACACAAAGACATGGTGTTGGTGGTTCCCGCACGCAGCTTAAAGCCTCAGTTCTACTTTCTGAAAGGAACCACCACGAATGCTATGTGTTGAGTATAGACACTCACCAAATGGTAACTGGATCAGTTGCCATGCTTATTTGATTATTTAGGACATTTTACTGAAATAAGTCCCTGCTGTATTTATGATTTCAGAGAGCTGATCAATACATTCTGAAGGTAAAAGGTCAGGACTTAAACGGCGGATTCGGGGGACATAGTGCAACCAGCACGGTTACTATTAATGTCGAAGATGTGAACGACAACCATCCCACTCTGGAAAAAAAACAGGTACTTTTCTGCCTCTCATGTTTTAAAATATCATTATGTGAGTATGTGCATCAGGTGTCAGGGGAAATGGTTCCCATACGGGGTTTCAGAGTTGAATAGTTTCAACATGTTCACTAGCAGTCAAATGTATACATATAACACTTATTTTCTTGTTCAACTCAATGAGAAAGTTTGTCCAAAGCTTTGACTCGTACCGTAGAATACATGGACATGTATACATACTTGTGTCACAGATCACACATTTTATTTTGTATAGCCCAAAATCACAAATTACAAATTTGCCTCAGAGGGCTTGACAGTCTGTACACATACGACATCCTCTGCCCCGAAACCCTCCATCGGCACAGGAAAAACTCCCCAAACAATGAAAAAGAGGAGGATCCGTCTCCTGATGGACAGACTACAATGATGTCATGCGTACAGAATGAACAATGTAAAATACATGAGACTATATGACAGAAATGATTCAAGTAACTATGAGTATTAAACCAGACGCACAGCAGGACCACTGCAGGGACCACCACCATCACATAGAACCACCATCACATAGAACCACCATCACCATCACATAGAACCACCACCACATAGAACCACCATCACATAGAACCACCATCACATAGAACCACCTTCACATAGAACCACCATCACCATCACATAGAACCACCACCACATAGATCCACCATCACCTTCACATAGAACCACCACCACATAGAACCACCATCACATGAGAACCACCATCACCATCACATAGAAACCCCACCACATAGTACCACCATCAGATTAGAACCACCATCACCATCACATAGAACCACCACCACATAGAACCACCATCAGATAGAACCACCATCACATAGAACCACCATCACCATCACATAGAACCACCATCACATAGAACCACCATTAGATAGAACCACCATCACATAGAACCACCATCACCATCACATAGAAACACCATCACATAGAACCACCATCACCATCAGATAGAACCACTATCACATAGAACCACCTTCACCATCACATAGAACCACCATCACCAGCACATAGAAGCACCATCACATAGAACCACCATCACATAGAACCACCATCACCAGCACATAGAACCACCATCAGATAGAACCACCATCACATAGAACCACCATCACATAGAACCACCATCACATAGAACCACCATCACCATCACATAGAACCACCACCACATAGAACCACCATCACCATCACATAGAACCACCACCACATAGAACCACCATCACATAGAACCACCATCACATAGAACCACCACCACATAGAACCACCATCAGATAGAACCACCATCACATAGAACACCATCACCATCACATAGAACCACCATCACATAGAACCACCATTAGATATAACCACCATCACATAGAACCACCATCACCATCACATAGAAACACCATCACATAGAACCACCATCACCATCAGATAGAACCACTATCACATAGAACCACCTTCACCATCACATAGAACCACCATCACCAGCACATAGAAGCACCATCACATAGAACCACCATCACATAGAACCACCATCACCAGCACATAGAACCACCATCAGATAGAACCACCATCAGATAGAACCACCATCACATAGAACCACCATCACATAGAAGCACCCTCAGAGAGAACCACCATCCACAGAAGCCTGTGGGGAGGGAAAGCACAAAGACTTGAAAGTCAAAAGACAAGTGTCCTGTTATTCCCATTTCCTAATGTGTTTGAGTATTTGCAGTTTTCGGGCTCAATTGACGAGAACACAAAGAATGTGGAGGTGATGAGGATCAAAGCCCAGGACCTGGACCTGAAGGCCACAGATAACTGGATTACTGTGTTTGACATTGTCAAAGGCAACGAGGCTGGGTACTTCAGCATCAAAACCGACCCCATCACCAACGAGGGCATCCTCATGCTCGACAAGGTACTGCCGCTTTGAACAATAGTATGCGTGTGATGTTTCCTTCTATTTGCTGGCTACACCAACAAAACATGCAATACAACATTGATCAGTCTTTACTGAATAACATACAATGTTGGCACAAAAACACATTACAGAAATATATCTCTTTAACACACAGACCTGATATTGCTGCTAATGTTTTCCAGAAATGTATTTTATAATCCAACATCATTTTAGGCTCATGTAAAAGATAACTTACTTTTTATTAATATGAATAGCTGAATAAAATCCATGGCACATGAGAGAACCATTATGGATGCACGTCTACACTTCGGTCCTCATCGGGCTGAATTTTTGAGCTTGTATTGACAAATAGGCACAATAATAACTGTGCTTGTATGTTCTTTCTCACAGGAGGTGGATTATGAGGATGTGAAGGATCTTAAACTGGGACTAGCTATAAGAAACAAGGCTCCATTTTTTGATGGATCAGGGCCAGATGCCATTGATTTAAATATGTCAGGAGGGGGAGGAGGGGGAGGAGGTGGCGGAGGGGGAGGAGGGGGAGGAGGAGGGGGAGGAGGTGGCGGAGGGGGAACAGGGACGGGAGGAGGGTGGTCAGGGGGTGCTCCTGGTGCAAGTGGTGCAAATGTTGGCGGGGGAGGGGGGGGAGGGGGTGCTTCTTCTTCAAGTGGTGCTAGCGGGGGAGGAGGCGAATATGAAATCAATATCAAGGTGAACAATCAGCGCGAGGGAGCAAGTTTCGATCCCAAAGTAAAAGCCATCCCCGTCTCAGAGGGCGGTGGCACCTTCGACATGAATCAGGTGATTGGCACCTACTGGGCAACAGATGGAGACACTGGGAAACAGGCAGAGAATGTCAGGTCAGTGGCCACACAAACACACAAACAAAGCCTCTGCACGCCGGCAGCTGTCTGAACACCATGACACAACTCTTCCGGCTGTAGGTACGCCAAGGGCTGGGACCCTGACAACTGGCTGACCATCGACCCAAAGACGGCGCAGATCAAACTGAACAAGATGCCTGATAGAGAATCTCCATACCTGGTCAATGGGACATACATGGCCAAAGTGCTGTGCATCTCAGACGGTAGGCTACGTTCTACACCACCAGGTCTCAGCTGCAGCTCCCATCCTGCTGTTATTAGTGGGGGGCATCTACTTAACCTGTATGACCTCAAGTGTTGGAATATTTTGATTGCGCATCAGAAGCACAGTGACAAAGTCAATTAGATGATGACATGTTTGCAGTCATGATATTTCCCCCCAACAGTTTCCCCAGCTGAGTGGAAGAAGAATCATTGTGTGCAGACAGTGTTTCTGAAGAATGGAAAGAGAAACGAAGGAACTGATGAATGATCTTTGTTTTATTGGTTTTCCTACACAGACATGCCTTCTAAAACATCCACTGGCACAATAGCCATCCAGGTGGAAGATTTTAATGACAACTGTCCCATCCTGACAAACGACATCGAGACCATCTGCACCCCGGTTGATGCAATCATTGTGAACGCTAGAGATGAGGACGCTTTCCCAAACGGGGCTCCGTTTGACTTTGCCATCATCCCAGAGGAAACTCAGGGAAAATGGCAGGTGGAGAATTTCAATGGTGAGGAGAACATGGCGAAGTGTTGCAAAGTTATGTAAAGACATATATAAACATACAAATACATATAAAGATAAAAACGTCTCTGTAAAATGTTATGTGCAATTGTCAATTACCTCCGTTCGTAAAAGTTCCAAATGTGGGCCAATCCTCGTGTTAAAATGCCCACAGATATTAGTCGAGCTTGGTACAAAAAAGGATTGGGTCTCCAAATGACAACTACGTGAAGTTGCTATACATCTCAGAACAGTGGACTACCAGAATGCCTGGAACCTTGTTTCTAAATTCAAATGTAGAAAAGCCAGCTTTAGACTTTTGTCTTCACTACAGCGTTCTGAAATCTTGGTGTAAAGCATTGACTTACCAAACATGTCCTTTTTCTGGCAGAAAGTGCAGTTATCCTGAGGGCCGTGGGGGCCGTATGGCCCGGCTCCTATGAGGTGAGCTTGCTGGTGAAGGATCAGCAGGGGCAGGCCTGTCCACAACCACAGAAGGTGACGGTCCAAGTTTGCACCTGTGAGGACGGGGTGACGTGTGGAACACGGGGCGCGGGTGGTCAGCCCAGCAGGTGGGCGAAGTTTGGACCTGCTGGCATCGGACTGCTTTTCCTGGGCCTGCTGCTGTTGCCATGTAAGAGTGTCACTCTGATTGTGATTTATCACCTTCGCTGTGCCCAGGACCATCCCACGACGGCTCGGTAGAGATAAGAAAACTATCAATACTGACATTTTAGTAAACACCCTTAAAATAGAATTTCACATTGTTTTCTGTTTTTTTTACGTAAATTATACACAATACATTCAGCAAACTATCAACAAACACAAGCTCCCATTGGATTAGAACTGTGAAAATGTCCTTTTCGTTTAAAAAATTTGATAATAGTTAATCAAAAATAAGTAATAATAGTTCTTACATAAGCTAGTACCAACCACTTTCAATCAACAATGACCTGAGCAGCTACAGGGCAGGTGCATGGAGCCAACGTCCTTTGTTGCTCCATTCCTCGCTACACTCTCGGCCCATCCGCTTTTAAGCAGCCCAATCAAAAGTGACGCATTTGATATAAAGCCTTCACATGCCGAAGAAGCTCTAATTTCCATTTAAGTGAAAGGTCTTTCCTTATGGATGTGATTGTGGGTTCGTCCAGCTGGTGGCAGAAGCCTAATATGACAACAGATTCAAGTTGCCTGATAAAGTTGAGTGAAAAGAGTTACAACATGGACTCCATGTTACACCAGAAACACAAATGGCGGCCTGTCATGAGAGAAAAGAGAGAGAGTGGTTCAGGTGAATTCAAAGTTCTGCGCTGTGTAGGGGCCTTAGGTCAAAGAGTAAAACCATGTTGTTTTTCTTTTCACAGTGCTCCTTCTGATGCTGCTCTTCTGTCAATGTGGGGGGGTTGGGGGCGTGAACGGGGACTTTGCTGAGATACCTTTCGCATCCAAACCACACATCGTTAACTACCACACTGAGGGCCAGGGGGAGAACACGGTAGGTCTACCCTTTACACGCACCACCTTCACTGTTGAGGGCAGGAATGTTGGCAATACACACTGGCTCCTTGTGAGATGATGTCTGCTTGAAGGCTGCATGAAGGGATTTTTGAATTGTCAGCAACAGAACTGCCAACCTCGTTCTAACATTTGGATCCTTGGCCTTTCACAGGAGGTGCCACTCATGATCATGCCATCACCAATTGATGAAAATACAAGCACCATCAGCAAAGGCATGGGCAGGAGTGGTTCAAGGATAGAGCCTAGGCCCCTTCAGCAAGTTGACGGCTGCGGATCTGGTGGCTTTAGAGAAAGAACATGGATACAAGGCTTGTCCAATGGCTCTCACTATGAGAGAAGGGAATCCAGAGTAGGTGGAGGAATGTTTGACGGCATGGCTCTGCAAGACCAGTTCCTGGGACAGTACTACACTCAGGTGAGCAATCATTTTCATACATCTACTCTTTGTAGAGGCTGAGTTTAGCCAGTAACTTAAAGAAGCTATTCCTGTGAGGGTGGTTGGTTTTTCCCACATAACTGCTTAATCAACAAGGAGGTTGTTGATTTTCCTTTTCTGTGTCAACAGAAAGTGACCAGTGAAAACGAGAACCTTGGACTGAAGGACAGTCTTCTGGTCTTTGACTACGAGGGCCAGGGCTCCTCTGCTGGCTCAGTGGGCTGCTGCAGCCTCTTGGAGTCTGACAACGACCTGCACTTCCTCGATGACCTCGGGGCAAAGTTCAAGACCCTGGCTGAGGTGTGCAGCGGCAAGAAAATCCCAACCCAAGTCAAACAAGTGTTAACTCCTCTGCCCAGTGCTTTCCATCAACACTCAGACCTCAGTATCAACGTCAATGACCAGCCAGCAGCAGCCCCCTCCGCCCAAGCTGCAGCCCACCGTTGCCCGGACTGTGGTCCGGGATTCATCTGAGCGTTCTCAGGTGATCAAGGAGAGCACGGCCACAGTGAGGCAAGGGATGACTGTGGCGGACGAAGGGATGTTGAATCAAGGCCAGATGGTCCTTCTACAGCCGCAGCAGCAGCAGCAGATCTACTACACCACCGGCCCGATGCTGCAGCCGGCGCACTTCGTAGTCCAGCCACAGATTCAGAACACCGTCCTGCTGGCAGAAGCACCAGCCACCAACCTACAGAGCATGGTGATGGTTAACGGTCTGCAGACTGGACCTGCCCAAGGCATGGTTGTTCAGGGGCAGACGATGATGTCCGGTGGACAAGCCCAAGGCCCCCACATGGTGCTGGTGGAGAGCTGTGGAATCCAGGGGGGCGGTGGCAACGTGATCCACAATGGGACTCTCTCTGGCTCCCAGACGATGATGATGGTGGAGAGCAAAGTCCCTGCAGGGTCAATGAGCTATGTGCAGGGCGGCACTCTGCAGGGCGGCACCCTGCGGTCAGAAGGGCTTTCGGGGTCCCAGAGGGTCCTGGTGGCTGGAGGGTCAACAAGCAGCGGCGGGCCACTGGTCCAGGTGGCAGGAGGGCTGTCCCAGAGGAGTGTTGTCTCCGGTTCTCAAAGAGTCCACCACAGCAAAGACAGCCCAGCCACTGGCTCTCAGATCAACATGGTGCGCTCCTCCACTACCACAGTGAATTCAACCCCCACCTACCGCAAGGTGATGGTGCAGGAGACCAGAGAGAGACACTGAATATAGAGTGTCAGGACAATCGTGGACCTTTCCAAGGATGGCATTGAGACTGTCCCATTGGCCTGGTCCTGCTGGTGATGGGATGCTTGTGGGACACAACTAATGCAAGACAGCTAATGGAGAGAGGGCGGGTTCCTCATCGGCTCTCTGTGATGACACACAGCAGCACATCTGCAGTCCCCCACGCTTACATTCTAGCACTAGTTTCATCTTTACCAGCAGCTCTAAAGCCATCTGTTGGTCTACAAAATGTACCCACCAGATTCTGCTCTCGGAGGTTTAAACGTGTGTGTGGGCGTGAAGGTGTTTATCATGTACGGCGGGAGGCATCAATGACAACAGTCTAAGTCACCAGAAAACCAGAAGCCCCGCCCTCTCTCAGAACTCAAACCGTTTTGTGGGTGCAGCTCTTGTGGATGTAATTTTTTTTTCACGTTTGCCTTCTGTTGCAGCACTTTGACATGACACATAATCAAGTTCTGTATACAATACGTAGTCTCAGGTTGTTATATTTCTCTATATCATACGCTGTTGTATTCATTTGCACCATTTTTATTCTTAGTTCAAAATTAAAATATTCATATTCATATTTTCTGTTACCTTCATATTAGTAAAGTTCTTCATGTTTCTGGGGTAGAACGTATGTTCAAAGAGAATGTAGTAAAAAGGATAATGTAAAAAAACTGTATAAGGTCAACTATGAATGAACACAATTTATAATAAAACCGAAATCTTCATATTCATCCTGTTTCCTGAGGAGTTTAAGGAGTTTAAGTTGCACTGCTTGAAACATGCGTGTGTGTCAGTGAGAACGGTACTGGTAAAGTACTGTATCAGTGCTCCTGGTAGGAGCAGAAGGACGACCCGTATGAGGATTAAGGAGAAAAAAAACAAACAAAGTGTACAAAACTATTTATTACTTAACAAAATGCAAAAGTGTACAAGAGCCGTTGTTAAGCAGTAGCACTCTAGTTGTTGTGGGACGCCTGCTGCAAGATGAGTGAACACAGACTCAACATCTGCAGGTACTCGTCTGCCCCGTCGGTCAGGCACTTCCCCACCACCTGGACCAGAGGAAACACAGCACGCAGGACACAAGTGGGTGTAGTCATGGAGACGGTTCAGTGACAGGGTTCAGACACATTCTGACCAATGGGTGTCCAGGACTTTATTATTATTATTTAACTAACAATGAGAATGCAAAGCATATACAGTTGTTCTACCATTCAATTTGGCCCCAAGGAAAAGTTTACAATTATCCACCAGGGACGAGTGTGGTTTGGTTTTTCCCCCATTCCGGTGCTAAAACAATTCTTTTAAAACTTTAAAGATGTTTGTTTACTTCAAACTTGAATAAAACGGTTCACAGTTGACTAAGTGTTTCTGTAAGAGCCGGAAGTGTGTGTTAGTTAATGGGAATAGTAATCATTTCATTTGTGCTCATTGTGCAGGAACTGAAGATGCTCCTTGTTTGTCTCGATGTGTTGACAACATGATTGGTGCGCTTTGCTGCATAAAACGAGAAGCAACAAAACAATTTGCGCGGGGAAATGTAGTCGCGATACGATACAACGTAATCGCCAGGCTGGATCCCTGAGGACGCTCGTCGACCAATACGTCACTTCCACTGCGACTCGCTGGTCCCGATCCGTCGGCTCCTGCGAACGCGGTCGAGGGACAAAGTCCTCCAGGAGCCGATTGGGAGGACACATCTGATCGGTCCTTTGTGACCCAGCATATCCCAGCATGCAGTGCAGCGGACGAGGATTTCATTTAATTTATTCAGGACGGAGGCGGAAGATGCTATTAAACAATAAGGTACGAGAGGATGTACTTTATCTTCCAATAATGAATGAATAACAGTTCGGGGGGGTTGTTAGGCCCGACAACCCTCAAACTGTTACATTATTGAAGATAAAGTACCTTACTGCTTTTATAATACTATTTATAATTTTGCTGGTAAGTAAATAGCTGCCAAAATAGTATAAGCCACTAAGCCATAACCAATGTTGTGTATCTCATTTCAGTAGCATAGAGAAAAATAGTCCCCGTACGTGCACGTAAACCGCATCGGGTCTCCTTGCAAGATCTCGCACCATCTCATTCACTCACATCGCTCATGATGTCCACCTTTTAATTGTCCAGTTGCGATTGTCTTTGTTTGTCAATCGCCACCGAGCTAAATACTGAAACATCGCTCAAAATCTAACAGTTATTCTGAGTGCGCAGTGATACGGAACGCTCGGGTCAATGTGAACAGGTACCGTTTGCTCGCTAAATTAAATATGAAATTCTGAACTTTTTTTGGCTTTTACGGTCAAGCGCAGCAGGTTGCTATGCAACAGGCGCAGCGGAGGTAAAGCTGATGACGCAAGCAGGACGTCCCCCTGTAGGACCGTCCCGTTTCAGAGGGCGCTCGGGTCAGCTTACTCGCTAGTTGTTACCAGCTGCAGTCCAGCGACTTGAGACACAGCTTGTGTTTGCAGCTCCATTACAGTATAATGCCAACAACACCCCCAAGGAACGCAACTCGGCCGGTACCGTCCGCCCCGAAACGCATCGGAGATTCTGGTGCCTGAGCAGATTGAAAAACTGATGACTCCGTCCTTGCAGCGGGTATCGGGCTATGAAAGCGGAAACGTGAGACTCCGTAAAGGACGTAGTCAGCAGACCAATCACAGCCTGGTGCTGCAGGAGGCTGCGCCGCTTTTGACGCTAGTCTAGAAAAATGGGTCGACGCACACGAGGAGGCGTGAAAAGACACGCAAGGGACACGCAGGGGACTCTTGCGTCTCTCTGAAAACGCAGAAGCATGAACCAGGCTTTAAGACGCATTGAGCTGCAGACACGATGGCAGATCGTTTGGATCTTTCAGTCTTTATTTTACGCAGCAAAGCTTAACTAAACATTGAAATAATCAATTCTATCACATGGGAGAAAACGTGCCTCATGCAGCTCTTGTGTTTGTTGCACCTGCTGGAATACGTCATTAAACAGAGACAAGCAAACAGGGTCCATCCAACATAAATGCTTTTCAATATGTTACATATCTTTATTTCCTGCACAATAAGCCTAAATCTAAAATTGAATAATTAATATTCCCCAAATACAAATGAAGTAATAGATACACTTTAAGCTCTTACAGAGGGAAACGCTAAGTAACTGTAAACCGTTAATATATTGCTCATAATTTGAAGTTAAAAAGTTCAAAGCTGTAGTGTGAAGTGTTCTTAATGTATTTAGATCTACAGTATTGTTTAAAGTTAATATATTGTTCAATTTGAAGAATGGCTTTAGCGATACCCATCCTGCTGCAGGTGGTGGGAGCGCCTCCTGGTGCGAGTACCAAACCAAACGAAGCTGTGCTTTGTTTGATGAAGAACAAGGTGTAGACCTTAGATTACGCTTTCTACCGGACACAGTGACGCCTGTATATCAGGAACACACAGCGCCGGTCAGCAGGGGCTGGGGTTACTACGGTTACTGTTGTATACACACAGTATGTGTCACTGCTACACCGACAACTTCATCACAGATTAACAAAACCTCTATTTCCTCGTCTCTAATATGAATACTAACGTCCCTTAACTTTTCACCATTTCATCTGAACCAATACATCCGTTAGTGATCCACCATATTATTATTATGTTATACGCCTCTCTAGCTGAACATGTTTCAACAACTCTCCACCGCATACATTTGGTTCTGATGGCGTCAGATTGGATATTAAAGGAATCATCTAGAGTCCTAAACAATGTCCACTTACCGCCATCTTCTCTGTGATGGCCGACTTCTGCTTGTCGCTCAGCTGCCGCTCTATGATGGACTCGTGGAGCTGACTCAGGATCTGTGTGGCTGCATAGCCTTCATCCACCATGTTCTGATGGAGCAGACGTTAATCGTGTGAATACTTAATACTTTGTCCCGAGCGCCTGGCAGCGCGCTTGTCAGAACACGTACCCTGACGGCCACCTCGAGCTTCTCAAACGTGCCCGTGAAGCAGATGTGGAGCAGGTTGTCGATCATCTTGGGAGGGACCACCTGCGGCGAAAGCGCACGACGACTTGGTCACATGACTGCCAGATAATGATAAACGGGGCCCCTAGTAGTGCGCCTCACCCCGGCTATGTCAATGACGGCTCTCTCTGTGATCTCCTTGTCCATGTTGAGGCGCGCAGCGCTCTGGAGGAAGGTAATGGCTTTCCGCAGGTCTCCGTCCGACACGCCCACCAACGCTGCTATGCTCTGGAAGGACAGACGGATGCGCCTTGACTTCCTCGGCTGAACAGAGGAGGCAGTCGCAGTTCTCTGCCACACCCACAGGACAACGTTACAGCCCAGTTACCGAGCAGCCATGACAGCTGGTCAGTTTGGAGGACAGAGGACTTCTGTACCTTCAAGGATTCAAAGGTCACTGAGCCATGGAATGCACCTGTATCCCCTTCTCTACACAGGGAAACCAGGTGGGCACTGCAGCACTGCTTTTCTAGCTGCATTCATTCTTCCAGACAGTTTATCCGTCAGCTGTTCATAGGAATCCTCCTCTCGTACCTCTTTGGTGTACTTGAGGTTCTCCTTCTCACAGATCTCCAACAGGCGCTCCTCTTGGATCTTATTGGCCAGAGGTTTGAAGCGAAACTTGGAACATCTGGAGGTCAGCGGCTCAATAATCCTGGTGGACACACAGATACACAGCGGGGTGACGGCCGGTCACACAGCGTGTGCACGCCTCGCTCACGTCGGTCAGCCCACCTGCTGATGTAGTTGCAGATGAGGCAGAAGCGTGTGGTGCGGGACTCCTTCTCCATGGTCCGCCTTAGAGCGGCCTGAGCCGGTCCCGTCATGGAGTCCGCCTCGTCCAGGATGATGATCTTAAAAGGAGGACACGGCTTGCCACTGGCGACGCGGCACAGCACAGAGGCAGGGTTGAGAATTACTGAAGAGCTTGGGGCCTTTATTTGAGGAATGGACGCTGACTCACTCTGGGCGAGTCCCGGCCGCGGTGAGCTGAGCAAAGTTCTTCACCTTCTCCCGGACCACCTGGATGCCTCGCTCGTCGGAGGCGTTGAGCTCCAGCACCCTCTGTCTGTACAGGTGGGGGCTGGAGCACGGCCGGATTCATACAAGAGAAAGCAGACGAACGATTAACGAACACCAAGGCGTTCTGGTGGTGCTGGGACCTCAAACGCCACCGTCACTGACCCGTAAAGTTCTCTGGCGGCAGCCAGGATGGTGGAGGTCTTCCCCGTCCCAGGAGGGCCGTAGAAGAGCAGGTTGGGAAGCTGCGGTTAAAGCAAACACTAGTGAGAACACGTCTTCATGAACTACAGGACGCCTGTGAGCTCCAGCTGGCTCTTGAACCACGAAATCAGCACTGATTCCACTTGATGTCTTTGCCAAATGTCTTTAAGAGTTAGCGTTGAGTGCTGGTAGCGACGGGGCTGCACCATTATGGCCAAAAGCACAATCCCTCATTCTAGGGACACCGTTTTAAGGAGCACGAGCACTGCTCAGTTATTTCAGTCTTTGGGCGGTGCTTTGATGCACCGTGTGCTCCTGTGTCGTTGGACAGTTTGTGGAGATTCTTCGGGTGGTCGAACAAGTTGGTAACTGCGAAGCACTCTGACGTAACCAAGAACAGAGCATATCACAAAAACCTGCAGACCACGGATGATGACCCTCTGAGGGACTGGCTCCTCCCCCTTTGCTGCTGACCTCTCACACCGCGTTGTCCTCTACTCTCCTACCAACACTCACGTTCTGTGAGGCTGCAGGGCGCCATGAATCCTCCCACCTCCCTCTGCCCCTGGTGGTTAGTCGAGGAAGCGCTACGTAGCAGAGCACGCGTTTTAAACGTCAAGATCGCTGACGATCTCTCTCATTTAAATCGTGACCCAATATTTGATTAATTGAGCAGTTTTAAGTTGGGATGGTTATTGCTTGTTTTTTTCTGATACCGGTGCTAAAACAATATTAGAAAAAGCAAGGGGCCCCCCTGTTCTGTCCACACGGACATGAAGACAATGAAGCTCCAGCTGACGTCAGCAGACCAAGTGGGAGTGTCCCTCACACAACGAGCGGAACAAACGCCATTAATAACGTGCTTTTAAATATAAACGCAGCAATCAATGCAGCAACAACCCGGTTTCCCCGTTTCATTTAAAATTGTGTCAGTGTCTGTCTGGTCACAGAATTCATCTAATTTGTCCCCTACAGCCCAGAACAGAGTTATCAAGAGTCTAGAAAAAAGGGAGTGATACCCACATCAGCTCCTTCCAGAGACTTCTTCAGCACGGCTACCACCTCGTCCTGGAAGGCCACCTCATCAACACACTTTGGCCTGCTGGGATTCACAAAAACACAGCTGGTTATCTGTGGAGCATGTTATGTTCTGGGGCTTCATCATCAGGCAGTAGAAACACTCGGTGGTCCAATACAAACCCTGCCGATACTTCTTTACTATCGAGCTTTGGATAAATTCAATTTGATGTTTGAAACTGTTATGGATTTAAGCCAGAAGTGCACCCCCTAGTCATGGACGTTATAGTATGTGTAATAATGTTTAGTGTTAGAATTATAGTTTGTGTGTTATTAGATATTAGTTATTACATTAACATGTTAGATGAAGTGAATGCAATTTCAATCAAACACAATGTATAGTCATTTAAATCATATAAAACACTGTACACATTAACATTCTGTCACAATGTGATGTTAAAACCTGGGGACGGATACTAATTGCCGTTCTTTATAGATTTCTCCCAATTTTATCCCTAAAGAGGGTTTTTTGGGAGTTTGTTCTCCTGTCAGGTAGTAAATGAACAACTTAATGTGAGGCAGCCGACTGAGGCAAATGTCTTGAGAATTGGACCACATGAACTGTCTTAGATCTTATGATGAACGGTGATCATGAATGACTTGTTGTAATTGAAGTGTACTAGTTATAAGATGAAGACTTTAACGATGTATGCTTTGTTATATTCACTCATTGAGGGATGAAGCCAAACGTATCTACATTGAATGCATTGAAATGTGAGGGACAGTGAGGTTTCAGGTTACAGCTGCAGCTTCACACCTCAACGTGAAGGGGACAGTGAAGGAGGAGACACTTTGAAGAAGAAGCCAATGACATTCAAACGCACCAAAGAAAACACACCTCAGGAGTTTTCCTGCAGCCGCTTTGATAAGTCACTTTAGACTTGCTCAGAGAATTCTCTATTTCGCAGAATATTTACTGTTCGTTTTGTATTTCACTTTGTAATTGTATTCCTTATAACGTTTAGTTATTAAATACTTTTTGATTTTTGAATTTACGCAAGCTGACTCTTTTGTATCTTCGTTTCCGGCCGGGACGAGAACAAAGGAGTGAGGCCTCCCTGGAGAGCTTTCCGAAACCTAACAAAACTGTAAGGATTTGTTGGACTGGACTGCATTATAGGACGTGCATCTCCTTTCTCCTAACAAATGTACACGAGAAACACCCACATAGAACAGAAAAAACACCCCTTTACCTGTGAAACATGATTACATGCAATCAGCGGTGAACAACACGCAACACCAGTGGCATCATAAAAGTATGATTGGGCTGAACAGGTGTACCGGATAGTGTTCACTACGGTGGAACCCTGGAATACAGGTAGGGCTGAACAATACATCCATCTCGTTCAATTGAATTTGTGTGAGATGTCTACATAGTAAGAATGATTTTTTAAGAGCCGTCTCATAGTTGATTGCTGCTACACTGAGAGGTTACCCGCACGAGGCTCGCTATGCAGCAGTGGGTGTTTGTCCTCTCTGGGGTCATGTCACAGTGACCCAGGCTTGCTGGGGTTCTGCTGGATTCAGACATACTGTACAGCAGATCGTTGTGGTCCACTCACTACTTTTCTACCCAGGGAATGGGCTTAGCTCTCTTCTCTGAACTGGGCCCTGCTGCCGCCTTGTCTTTCTGAGGTCTGGTGGACTGAAGCGTCGCTCCTTTCAGGAAGGCCTGCATGGCTCCTGCTGCAGACACACGGGGACAAAGAGACATGCGGAACATTACAGGAGCAGCACTACCGGGCTGTCAGCTCATCTGTCACCGACACCACACCACAACCAACTCAATGCGGACAGACCTAAATCAGACGAGCCGCCATCGGCTCCCTACAAGGAGTCCTCCACCTAATGACGGCTGGCTTTTGATTGAAAGAGTGTCAATATCAATGCCTATGATCAAAGTGGTTTCCGTGCACGTTGTCTCTCGTGTATGGTGGTGAATAGCATGGACGCCTCTGGACGAGCACAGCTCGTGTAACCTTATCATTACTGTTTGCGAGCTATCTGTAACTGGCCGGTAACCGGCTGCTTGCTAGCTATCTGTAAGCTAGCCGGTAACCGGCTGCTTGCTAGCTATCTGTAACTGGCCGCTAACCGGCTGCTTGCTAGCTATCTGTAACTGACCGGTAACCGGCTGCTTGCTAGCTATCTGTAACTGGCCGGTAACCGGCTGCTTGCTAGCTATCTGTAACTGGCCGGTAACCGGCTGCTTGCTAGCTATCTGTAACTGGCCGGTAACCGGCTGCTTGCTAGCTATCTGTAACTGGCCGGTAACCGGCTGCTTGCTAGCTATCTGTAACTGGCCGGTAACCGGCTGTCGGTCAGTGGTGGCCCGTTACCGGCTGGTTTGTCTCACCGTACTTCCCAGAGCAGAGTTCCCGGTTTCGAAGGCCGACACGCCGCTGTCACACCGGGCTGAGTGGAGTCCGCTTGTTGACATGTGTCTGTAGCAGCGCCGCTTTTCCCGCTCTGACTCGGAGGACATTTGTTGTCGTCCAATCAGATGCCGCGGATGCTGGAGTTGGTCCTCCTCTTCCACGCCCAGGTCTCCTCCCATTCAGTCGTTCCTTCCCCTCCACCGTGATCTCCTGTCTTCTCTCCAGAACCTCCTCCCCATCTCTCATTACCCCGCGGATCATTTTCGCAACCATTCATGGATTCTGAATTGACAGAAAAACAAATGTATTTGGCTTCAGTCAGCACAACACTGGATACAGCATCACCAGCTTTGTGTGCTCTTAGTGTACCAGCTGCTGCACCATTGATGCTGCATGTTTGTGTGCACGCCTCCAGCTGGGCATGTGATTGGCTGGCAGGGAGAGACTGGGTGCAGATGTCTCCGGCTAATGGCCGTCTCAGTCCCAGTGGACATGTGCTCCGTGGAGAGATGCTAATGGATGCCCGGCATGGTTTGCTCTCATGAAAACGTGGAGCAGGATCAGTAGCGAATGGACCGAGGTAGTCAGAGGTGAGGAGTCAGAGGTCAGGTTGTGGATTGGTTCAGCTTCAGGTCAATGCTGGAGAAACAGAGTACCATCTTTTAAGACATTGTGATGTAAAAATCCATATTTCAATTTATGGATGCAGCCTTCTGCCTGCTCCAAGCTGTTCCATCACCAGGATTTCCCTGATGGAGTAATTAACCCCCACCCTCCCCCTTCCTCTACATCCCTCCTCCCCCCTGCAGGCAGGTTCTCCCTGTCAGTGACTCAGCTTCTCCTCCAGCAGCATCAGTGCTTTCCTGGGATTGGAGTGAATCAAAGGCTCCCACACTGCTGGAGCATCCAGACATTGTTTTAGGTTCGGCATATCTTGAATTGTTTTTTTTTTTAATTATATTTGAGGTGTTTCTTGCTTTGTAAAAAAGGACTGTCTGGGGGCAGATGTTTTGTAATTAAGGGGCGGGGGGGGGGGGGGCTTTCCGTTACAAATGTACCTACAAATTGGCACACTTTGCACTAATGTCTTGCTTTTCTGCCCAGTTTTGGGCGAGAGAGTCTCTTTTGTTCTGCTTGACGAATGCCGTTTTAATAACCCAACTGGATTATGTTATCCGTAGGGTTACTATTTGGCTAAGAGTGGCATCCTCATTGTCCCCTCTGTCAACGTTTGGGTGGAGGAGAGACTCCACATGAAGGAAACTCAAAGAAGAAAGGACTAGGAGAGAAAAGAGGAGGACAACCCCCTCTCACGGGAGAAAACTGGATACGGAGCAATCGGAGGAGAGGAAGGGTGAGGAGAAGAGGCGTGGCAGAGGAGAGGGAGGCAGCGTAGAGCGGGGGGATGCGACCCACACCCTGAGATGCTGGCCTGGCTGAGAGAAGACGAGATGTCGGTCCAGGACCTGCTGCACAGGCTGCAGTGTGTCATCACTCATATCGGTAAGTCCTCCTCATAATTCATTATAGCATCTTTGCATCGTCGAAGAGCACGATGGAAGATGTGCTTTCATCGGAACATTGCTTCTCTGGTTATCCTTGAATGGTTGGAATTGTGTGGAGAAGGAAATCCGTCTTCTCATCAGGACCAGGAGGATGAAACAGTCTTTCTGTGGTTGGTTGTGTTTAGTCTGTCAGCGCGTTCCCCGCGTTGGTGAGATTAAGGTGCGTTGACTTTATGTTTCCATTGATGGTTGGCTTTACAAGATCTACAAGATCAATATTTAATAGATGCTATTTACTTCTTCTCCCTTCACCTGCATCTCCTTTGCTCTTTTTTTTTTTTTTCTTGTCTCATAATAATGTTTCCCTCCCCTCCACGCCATTCCTCCCATCCGTCCCCTCTGTCCTCTCTGTCTGCCTCTCTCTCGTCTCGCTTGTCTCCCATCGTCCTTTTGCCTGCTCCACTTCCTGGTCCTCTCCCCCTCTGGGTTGGGAAGTGGGTTAATGTGCCACGCTGCAGAATGTCACGCAGCATCTTCCATTACTGCGCATCCTGCATTGCACCGCTAGGGCGGCGAGGGCGGGGTGGTAACGGATGGAAACAGAGCCGCTCGCTGAGCGAGGGGCTCT